GGACCCTAACGAGTGGGTGAGGTCGGGCGGGCGGGACGTTAAAGTACGTTGCGTAATCGAGTGGGCGTGCGAGTACCCTAACGGCCGGGACGGGTCGGGTCGGGCGGGCGGGCCCTAACGGGCGGGTCGGGTCGGGCGGGCGGACCCTAACGGGCGGGGCGGGTCGGGCGGGCGGGACATTAAAGTACGTTGCGTAATCGAGTGGGCGCGCGAGTACCCTAACGGGCGGGGCGGGTCGTGTCGGGCGGGCGGACCCTAACGGGCGGGTCGGGCCGGGCGGGCGGACCCTAACGAGTGGGTGAGGTCGGGCGGGCGGGCGGGACATTAAAGTATGTTGCGTAATCGAGTGGGCGCGCGAGTACCCACTCGGGCGGGCCGCCCGGTTCCGACCCGCCCGCCCGCCGCCCGCCGCCCGCCGCCCGGCCGCCCTGCCGCCCCGCCGCCCGCCGTCTGCCGCCCGCCGCCATCCGCCCGGTTCCGACCCGCCCGGCTCGGACCCGCCTAGAAAGCGCTGCCACATGGGACATCGTGACGGCGGAACAGGGCCGGACGGAACAGGGCCGGCGGAACAGGGCCGGTCGGAACAGGGCCGGTCGGAACAGGGCCGGTTCCATCTGGCTGCGCTGCCATTTCCGGCTGCCCCGCGCTTCCCCCCCGCGTTGCCGTTGCCCCCCGCCGCCCGCGGGCGCCTGGGACGCTTCGCCCGCTGGCTCCCGCCCCCCCCCCACCCCCCAGGCAGGCGCTTGCCCTCGTGCGGCCACGCCGCAGTATCCCTGTCACTGCCAGCCATCTGGCCGCTGCTCCCGCCTCCGCACGGTTCAGTGCTGTGCCTTCTTCTTTTCGGTGCGCCGCGGTACGTCGCTCGCGGCTTTCCACTGTGTTCCCCGCCAGCCCCAACCGCTGGTTGCGGCCCCCCGCCATTCTTGCCACCGTGGTGCGCCACGGCCGCCCACCGCGCTCTGGCCTTTGCGAGCTTGGCTGCTGCTGCCCCTCCGGCTGCTCATCGCCGAACGCTTCGGTGTCTGAGCGTCCCTTCTTCCTCTCGGCCGTCCCCCCTTTCTGCTCGCCAGCCAATTCGCTAGTTAATGCCCCATATCTAGCTTCTCGCTGGAGCGAAGTTGACGAAAAACATGTTATTGAGTTGCTTCGCGTTGAAATTCATGTGCGTCGGAAAAGGGGGGTTCCATGGGGGGTCTGGAGAAACGATTGCGTTGACGGGACCCGTTGTTTTTTTGATGGGCTTTCGTTGTTCGTCGGCAGCGACGAGATTTGGGCGCCAGTCGGTCGCTGTGATTTTGAGGCCGACGGGTTCCCCCCGCCCTCGCTTGATGAGGGCATCCGGAAGCAATTCTCAAACGGACGCTCTGGTTCCAAAGGGGCTCGCGTCCTTGACAATCATCTCTTTGCGCGCGCTATTTGTAATCATGTGCCGTAGCGTTATGTAGCGTTCGCCCGATCAACGGCTGCTGCTCGGAAGCTGAAAGCCCGGAGTGGCTGAGATTTTTGTTGAAAAGGGAAGGGTTTCAAAATTGGAGCAGGCGCGTGTTGTTTAGGTGTTCGTTTAACATTATTGCGCGGTCGCGGCGCATCGAAAAAAAAGGTTCGAAGGCTGGAGAAGGGGGTCTAGAGAAACGATTGCGTTTACGCGTTTTGTTGGTTCTCGCGGGCGTTAAGGTTTCGCCTCGTGGTGTTCGGAGGTGTCCAATCGGAGTTTTCTATATCAGCGTCCGTCAGTTTCCTCGTTCGACGGTTATTATAATCATTGTGTTTTGGCGTATCATTCGCCCGATCAGCGGTTGCTGCCCTGAAACAAAATCCGCGGTAACCCATTTGTTTTGAAAAGGGGGGGGTGTTCGAAATTAGGGCAGGCGCGTGCTACTTTGGTCGTCGCTTTGCATGTATCAGTTCCTCTGTGCATCGGAAGAGGGGGGGGGTCTGGACAAACGATTTTGTTGATGCGGCCCGTTGTTTCTTATGGGCGTTCGCTGTTCGGCGGCAGCGACGAAATCGGGGTTTCAGGCGCTCGCTGTGGTCTTGAGGCGGAAGGATTGATCGCGTGTGCCGTGCATCGACGGGTTAGTTGGCGGAGCGGTTTTGATGAATATTGTTGTCACTTGTCAGCGCGTGGTATGGTTGCGTGATGTTGAGTGGCGTTCTCAACGGCACCCTTGCGTCCTCGCCTGCCCAGCATCCAGCATATCCGAAGACAATTATGTGGCGCATGCGTTGGCGCCAAAGGACCTGGCATCCTTGCTACTAATTTTCTCGCCCGCGTTACGTGTAATCATGTGATGAGTTGGTATGTTGCGTTGCGTTCGCCGATGAATGGCTGCTGCCCAGAAACTGAAAACATGGAGTGGCTGATAGCTTTATTCCCTAAAAAGAGGGAATTTGCAAAATTAGGGCAAGCGCGTGTTATTCAGGCGCTCGCTTTGACTTTTTATCAAGGTGTTGTGCATCGGAAGAGGGAGGGTCGAAGGCTGAAGACGGGATCTAGAGAAACGATTGTCTTTGTAGGGCTCGTTGTTTTTCACGGGCGTTTGAGAATCGGCGACATGAGGGCTCGATCGAAGGTGTTCCATTATCCGTGGTGTCTGGGGGGTCCAACAGGAGTTTTTCCCAACCATCCTGTGGTGTTGGGTCCTCGTTTTGAAGAGACGGTGCCCCGCGTCTCCTCCTCCTCTCCTCCTCTCTCCTCTCCTCTGCCGTCCGCATGCGTCCCGCACACCCATTTCGGCACACCCCTCACACGTTTCGTGGCCCCATAGGGAGCTCCACCGAAGGCCCCATGGCTGCCGTCCGCATGCGTCCCGCACACCCATTTCGGCACACCCCTCACACGTTTCGTGGCCCCACAGGGAGCTCCACCGAAGGCCCCAGTGCTGCCGTCCGCATGCGTCCCGCACACCCATTTCGGCACACCCCTCACACGTTTCGTGGCCCCACAGGGAGCTCCACCGAAGGCCCCATGGCTGCCGTCCGCATGCGTCCCGCACACCCATTTCGGCACACCCCTCACACGTTTCGTGGCCCCACAGGGAGCTCCACCGAAGGCCCCAGTGCTGCCGTCCGCATGCGTCCCGCACACCCATTTCGGCACACCCCTCACACGTTTCGTGGCCCCATAGGGAGCTCCACCGAAGGCCCCATGGCTGCCGTCCGCATGCGTCCCGCACACCCATTTCGGCACACCCCTCACACGTTTCGTGGCCCCACAGGGAGCTCCACCGAAGGCCCCAGTGCTGCCGTCCGCATGCGTCCCGCACACCCATTTCGGCACACCCCTCACACGTTTCGTGGCCCCATAGGGAGCTCCACCGAAGGCCCCATGGCTGCCGTCCGCATGCGTCCCGCACACCCATTTCGGCACACCCCTCACACGTTTCGTGGCCCCACAGGGAGCTCCACCGAAGGCCCCAGTGCTGCCGTCCGCATGCGTCCCGCACACCCATTTCGGCACACCCCTCACACGTTTCGTGGCCCCATAGGGAGCTCCACCGAAGGCCCCAGTGCTGCCGTCCGCATGCGTCCCGCACACCCATTTCGGCACACCCCTCACACGTTTCGTGGCCCCATAGGGAGCTCCACCGAAGGCCCCATGGCTGCCGTCCGCATGCGTCCCGCACACCCATTTCGGCACACCCCTCACACGTTTCGTGGCCCCACAGGGAGCTCCACCGAAGGCCCCAGTGCTGCCGTCCGCATGCGTCCCGCACACCCATTTCGGCACACCCCTCACACGTTTCGTGGCCCCATAGGGAGCTCCACCGAAGGCCCCATGGCTGCCGTCCGCATGCGTCCCGCACACCCATTTCGGCACACCCCTCACACGTTTCGTGGCCCCACAGGGAGCTCCACCGAAGGCCCCAGTGCTGCCGTCCGCATGCGTCCCGCACACCCATTTCGGCACACCCCTCACACGTTTCGTGGCCCCATAGGGAGCTCCACCGAAGGCCCCATGGCTGCCGTCCGCATGCGTCCCGCACACCCATTTCGGCACACCCCTCACACGTTTCGTGGCCCCTTCTGCCGTCCGGCCCCCGCACACCCATTTCGGCACACCCCTCACACGTTTCGTGGCCCCAGGGAGCTCCACCGAAGGCCCCATGGCTGCCGTCCGCATGCGTCCCGCACACCCATTTCGGCACACCCCTCACACGTTTCGTGGCCCCACAGGGAGCTCCACCGAAGGCCCCAGTGCTGCCGTCCGCATGCGTCCCGCACACCAGGTGTGTGGCGTGCCGACATGGGCGTCGCGGCGCGCGGGCGCTGCCGTCGGGGTTCCCAGGGAAGCCCCCTGCAGAGGCGACGCTCAGAGTCACGAGTACCGAGAGTCACGCAGACCCAAACTGTTCACAGTCGTATACATACATTTACACTGGGCGTATCCATGCACGCATTCATGCGAATAGAATCAATCGCGCGCAGATTCATTCATAATCAGACTCGCTCGCGATCCGACTCGCACGCGCTCAAGCTTTCATATTCGGACCTATCGTCTTCGTTCGTGTTGTGTACACTGCCACGCATTTCGGCACACCCTTCATACGGCTCGTGGCCCCATAGGGAGCGCCACCGAAGAAGATATTCACAATTGCGGTACTCTCAACTGCATATGGTTGGGTCCTTCGCCAGGCTAATTTTTTCCATCGTCCGTCGATTTCTTCGCTGGCGGGACAAATCATCCGCCCGCCCGAAAAAAATCCTTCGTTCGACCGGGGAAGATGGCGGCCCGCTCGCCCGAAATATTTGTTTCGCTCGGTTTGGGGAATTTCCTGGCTCGCCCGGAACAAAAATGTGGTTCGCCCGTCCAAACTTCTTCGCTCGACCGAAAATATGCCTCTCGCCTGTCGACCACTGGGGCGCAGGGCCTATGCTGAGTGTTTCCTCCATCCAGCGTGTCCCCCAGCAGCGTTCCGTCCACCTCCACTTGCATGTGCCCCTAGCGGCGATACCTCCTTCTGGGCCCCCGTCGGCCGGGAGCGACGCGACGCGCGAAGGAGCTTGACGCGCAGGGGCTTCGGGGAGCAGAAGGCCCGCCAGGCTGTGGCGCGTGCGAAGGCGGCGAGGGCCGCGGGGCCGCGGAGCCCGCGACTGGCGGCCGCGCGTGCTCGCCTACAGAATGGTCGTCGACCATCAGAGCAGTCAGCAGGAATGAAGAAGTCTTGCGGGAAAGGAGTCCCGGATTTGTTTCGCCGTTTTCGGGCCCCCAGAGCCAGTCGCAGTCCTCGAGATTGCGAGCACCAAATATCGTGGATGAAAATCAGGTCCCGTGGGAAAGCTCTGGGGCCCAGCACCCTTTTCCACCAGGACCAGTTTCCTTCATGCAATGAGCTCAGCCACTCAGAGTTCGTTCTGTTGCTGACGGCGTTCAGCAGCACCGCGGGCATTTGAACAGCGCTGGAGCCTCACAAGTCGATCTAGTTTCCTGGCCTGAGACCCGTTCAAGACGGCTCTAATGCCCGCTACCTCCGAAACCGCGCCCATGACAGTCTCCAAATCTCCGAACTGGTCCAAGAGGCCCCGTGTGGGCTTTCAAGAAGCCCTCGAAAGGCCTCCCAATAGCTCCAAGCAGGAATCCCAAGACGCATCAAAACCTTGCATTCCCAAAGAAAAGCCATGGCCGTGCCAGCCCTCAATCTCCAACTCGCCCCCGAGAGGCCCCCAAAGAGCTTCCCAATAAGTACTTCAAAATGTTATTCAATAGTTTGGAACATCTCCCCGCAGATGTTCGAATCCCCGCATTCCCAACCTCAGTACAACCTTGGTGGAACCATGATGGCCTGATGGTTGCGCCAATGCCGACAGAAGACGCCCAGAAGCCCAGATTCGGGATACGTTTCCAGCAGCTGTAGAGGTTTGTCAAGAATCCACGCTTTTCAGCTTCATGGGCTGAAAATGCATTGCGCAACAGGGTCTTGCCGTTTCGTGGTTCTTTCTGGAATTGTTCCACAGACAACGTGTTCTATCATTTCCATCAGTCTTCGGATCGTGCAATCCCACGGTTCCATATTGTTTGATTGTTGCCTTTGCGAGTCACGAATGTGACCACCCCGTGGACCTAGTCTTCTGCTCGATTGTGCGTTCCTCCTCTCTGCGAAGCATTGAAGAGCAAGGTGCATGGCGCGAGGCGCCAGTGCAGTCGCTCACTCGATTGCGCAAGTGTTAGCTATTGAGGAGTTTGTTGCCGGAGTTGGGTCTTCTCAGCTTTGTCGTTGGCATTGGCATCTCGGTGAGAAGGAGAGGTGTCCACCTTTTGCCGACCTTGGGACTTCTCAGTGGCCGCTTGGTCCCCGTCGTGAAGTCGGGGGTAGAGGCGTCAGGCCAGCGAGGACCCAGCATTCAGGATGTTCGAGCGCATTCGACTGGGAAAGGTTGAGACGAATATGCGCGGTGTCAGGGCGAAGGCGACGTGTTGAGAGCCACCCGTCCAACATCATTGTAATTGATGGAAGCGATTAAAAAGAATACGCGCGTCGCGCAGGCTTGATCATCCGTTTGGAAAGGAGTCGCCATCCATGGTTGCAGCAGTTGGAAGTTCCAAAACGAATGTGCACGGCGTTAAATGGGGGAGCCACAGGCTGACATATCATTGTGAGAATTGTCGTATGAAAATTCATTCGCATGGTGTTTCTGCGAAAGCCATAGTCCGAAATGCACTTATTTTTCGTCCGTGGACCTTCTAGAGAAAGCACGGCACAGGGTACCACGAGGGGGTCGAGAGGCTTTACGTCCCCCACCCCCCACCCCAGCCAACTCCCAGCGAAATTCCGTTAATGTTTTGTTAAACCCATCCACCTTGTGGCCGGCGCGTTTCGTTGGGAAACATTACATTCTATGTTTCATCCAATTTTTCAACACCCACCCTCCCTCCGCGGGGCCAGAAAATTGAGGAGAACGTTTTGGCATTGGTCAGCGACATTGTTTTCTACACCCACCCTCCCTCCGCGGGCCAACAAAAAAACGGAATGCGATTTGCGGTGGGCATCTTATTTCCGCACCCACCGGGCAGGGTGTCCCGCTGCAGGGGTCGTTCGGCCGTCCACGCCAGGGTGCCCAACGCCGCAAAAGAAAATGCGCTGGAACGCAAACTCTGCCATTTTTTGGTCACCCCTGAGCCGCCCCGAAGGCACTTTCAGAGTCCCTGCGGCGCGCGCGACCGTGCGCGCCGCCTTTCGGTGAGTACTTTGCGCGGCGCCCGCGTTGAACGCGCAGTTTTTGCGGCGCCGACCGTGTGGGCAGGGTGTCCCGCTGCAGGGGTCGTTCGGCCGTCCGCGCCAGGGCGCCCAACGCCGCCAAAGAAAATGCGCTGGAACGCAAACTCTGCCATTTTTTGGTCACCCCTGAGCCGCCCCGAAGGCACTTTCAGAGTCCTTGCGGCGCGCGCGACCGTGCGCGGCGCTTTTCGGTGAGTACTTTGCGCGGCGCCCGCGTTGAACGCGCAGTTTTTGCGGCGCCGACCCAACCGCCCCCCCCATGCGACATCCGCAGGTTCGTCGGTGGGTCGTCGTCGTCGCCGCCGTCGTCGGTCGTCGTCGTCATCGTCGCCAGGCCTTGCGCGCCCCCCGTCCCATGGAACGTCCGCAATTCATCGTCGTCGTCGTCATTCATCGGCGTTCGTCGTCGTCGTCGCTGGGCCCCTCCTTGTTGCACCCCCCCTCCATGGGGCATCCGCAGTTCGTCGTCGTCTTCGTCGTCGTCGCCAGAGGGAGCAGGTAATCGCAACACCATACAAAATCTTAGGCACTCTACCGCACCCACCTCTCCAGGGACGCCTCGCCAAAAGGAGCAGGATATCGCAATACCATACACGTTCTTAGGAATTCTACCGCACCCACCTACCCAGGGAGGCCCCGTCAGAGGGAGCTGGATATCGCAATGCCATACGTACAAATTCTCAGGGATTCTACCGCACCCACCTCTCAAAGGAGGCCCCGCCAGAAGGAGCAGGGCATCGCAATGTCATCCAAATTCTTAGAAGTTCTACCGCGCCCGCCTCCCCAGAGAGGCCTCGCCAGATGGAGCTGGGCATCGCAATACCATATACGTTCTCAGGATTTCAACCCCGCCCACCTCTCCAAGGAGGCCCCGCCAGAGGGAGCAGGGCTTCGCCATACCATGCAAATCCTTAGTAATTCTACCGCACCCACCTCCCCAGGGAGGCTTCGCCAGAGGGCCCCACTGGGGAGGATGATGTTGAGGAGGAGGTCTGAGGATGTGGTTGGGGATTGTCTGGGCTCCCGAACCGCCCGGAGGGGAGTCGCATCTGACCGCGACCCCCCCCGGGACCTCCCCCAGGACCCCCCCCAGGACCCCCCCCCCGGCGGGGAAGGGATCAAAGGGAAGGGGCTTCCCTTCGACTCAACTACAGCGCTGCTGAATTTCGCTGTGGCAAGGTGCATGGCGCGAGGCGCCAGTGCAGTCGCTCACTCGATTGCGCAAGTGTTAGCTATTGAGGAGTTTGTTGCCAGAGTTGGGTCTTCTCAGCTTTGTCGTTGGCATTGGCATCTCGGTGAGAAGGAGAGGTGTCCACCTTTTGCCGACCTTGGGACTTCTCAGTGGCCGCTTGGTCCCCGTCGTGAAGTCGGGGGTAGAGGCGTCAGGCCAGCGAGGACCCAGCATTCAGGATGTTCGAGCGCATTCGAGCGTACATGGATCTTTCTTTGCTGCGCGCGATCCAGCAGCGTGCGGCACAGCCTTGCAGATCGCCAGTTTAGAGTCTGCTCCGCTGTCCAGGTTTTGAGAGGGGACCCGCACACACGAGCATTCGCCCCAGGAAAGCCACTTATTTTACCTGATGCCGTCGCTGCCAGAGTGTGCAAAACTCTGTCTCCTGCTCATTCCTCCTCTTGTCTTCAACATGCGTCCGATGGAATTGCCCAAACGCAGAGAACATCAAGCATGCGCCAGGATGCCCTGGAGCGCAGGGGCGGCGAGGACGGGAACGGGCTGAGGAAAAGGCGATCGCAATTCCACCTCCCTCCTTCTCCCTCATTCCTGTCTTCACCCCTCAGTTTTTCGATTGACGCCCCCGAAGCCTCCGAACGGGTCGCGGCGAGCAGGGCGGGGGAGGGGAAGGAGCGAGGAACCAACCATATTTGCAACACCACAATCTCCGAGAACCAGAGGAGGAGACAGAACAAGTACGTCCATACATCCCTGTAGCTGCTGGCAGCTTTTAAGGCGAATGCGCGCTGTGCCAGGACGAGGGTCTCATGCTCACGATGAACCACCATACGTCCTTGTAACTGTTGGCTTATTATTTGAAAGCGAATGCCTGCGGTGCCAAGGTAGCAATCACGTGTTGACAACGAACCGCCCTCCAGTAATGCACCGGCTGGGAAAGGTTGAGACGAATATGCGCGGTGTCAGGGCGAAGGCGACGTGTTGAGAGCCACCCGTCCAACATCATTGTTGTTGATGGAAGCGATTAAAACAAATACGCGCGTCGCGCAGGCTTGATCATCCGTTTGGAAAGGAGTCGCCATCCATGATTGCAGCAGTTGGAAGTTCCAAAACGAATGTGCACGGCGTTAAATGGGGGATCCACAGGCTGACATATCATTGTGAGAATTGTCGTATGAAAATTCGTTCGCATGGTGTTTCTGCGAAAGCCATAGTCCGAAATGCACTTATTTTTCGTACGTGGACCTTCTAGAGAAAGCACGGCACAGGGTACCACGAGGGGGTCGAGAGGCTTTACGTCCCCCCCCCCAGCCAACTCCCAGCGAAATTCCGTTAATGTTTTGTTAAACCCATCCACCTTGTGGCCGGCGCGCTTCGTTGGGAAACATTACATTCTATGTTTCATCCTATTTTTCAACACCCACCCTCCCTCCGCGGGGCCAGAAAATTGAGGAGAACGTTTTGGCATTGGTCAGCGGCATTGTTTTCTACACCCACCCTACCTCCGCGGGCCAACAAAAAAACGGAATGCGATTTGCGGTGGGCATCTTATTTCCGCACCCACCCACTCGCCAACCGCCCCCCCCATGCGACATCCGCAGGTTCGTCGGTGGGTCGTCGTCGTCGCCGTCGTCGTCGGTCGTCGTCGTCATCGTCGCCAGGCCTTGCGCGCCCCCCCTCCCATGGAACGTCCGCAATTCATCGTCGTCGTCGTCATTCATCGGAGTTCGTCGTCGTCGTCGCTGGGCCCCTCTTGTTGCACCCCCCCTCCATGGGGCATCCGCAGTTCGTCGTCGTCTTCGTCGTCGTCGCCAGAGGGAGCAGGTCATCGCAACACCATACAAAATCTGAGGCACTCTACCGCACCCACCTCTCCAGGGACGCCTCGGCAAAAGGAGCAGGATATCGCAATACCATGCACGTTCTGAGGAATTCTACCGCACCCACCTACCCAGGGAGGCCCCGTCAGAGGGAGCTGGATATCGCAATGCCATGCAAGTTCTCAAGGATTCTACCGCACCCACCTCTCAAAGGAGGCCCCGCCAGAAGGAGCAGGGCATCGCAATGTCATCCAAGTT